CCCCATATCTTTATGATGTGGACAATCTAAGGAAAGAGCAATTAAATAAGTATTTTAGAAGAATTAATTCAATACTTAATCGATACATAGCTTTAATCATGATTAAACTTTATATTGCTGTATACAATTCAAATATATTAACTATCTTTGCTCATTTAATTAGAATTAAATAGTGTTTCACTAAAGGATTTTATAGAAATTAATGAGTGGCGATAATATCCAAGCTGAACTTCTGGCAACGATTGAAGTTTAAAGTTCCTAAATCAATCAATTATCGACAAAAACATAAGATGCTTAGTAATAATATGAAATTCTACAACAAGAAAATCAAGAGCTAAAAAAACTTTTGGCTGAGATAGATGAAGAAATGGAGGATTGGAGTTATGATCCAATGGAGGAAATCTTAGCCATGCAAAAGGAGATGGTCGACATAGCTTTTGCCTATTCTGACGTATTTGACATACCAGAAGACACTAAGGTTATAATTAAGGGAGAGTTCAACAATTGGCAACCAGAACTAATGAAAAAATTAACAAAAAATGTTTTTGCATATAAGACTAAAGTCCTTGCAGGATACAAATATAGATTCTAATTTTTCTTGAATGAGAATGAACAGCCTTCACTTGATAGAAGCCAACCAGTCGTTCCTAGTTTTGAAGAGGAAGGCTCTGAGTCCAATTACTAATGCGTAATTAAGAGACAAATTAATTCCTAAGATGGCTACAGTTCCTATGAACAAGAATTACTCCAAAAAATGCCTGAATTCATTCACCCTGAAATGAAGAAAATGTATCTTCAAAAGTTTAATGAAAACTAAGAACAAATCAACTAATTGATATCAGCAAATACTAATGTTGATTTCAAATTGGTTGATTAGCTAGATACTCTAAACGAAGAAGATCAAGTAAAATTGGCTGAAGTATCTCTTCTTAGGAACCAAAATTTGTACAAATAGCTTGATCTATATAAAAAGAATGAGAGACTTGCGAAGGCTGCTCAAGAGAGTGCTTCTGCCGCATAGTCTACAGAGTAAATTAGTAAGATTGATGCTGAGATTAAAACACTTGGAGAAGTCATTAGTAATGTAACTAGAGGTAGGTATGTTCGTAGCAAGTTTGAAGACCCTCCCAACTACTACATAATTAACACCTATTCCACATACGGACAAAATGAGATAGGCTTGTCGAAGATCTATGATCCGAATGGAATATTGATTATTGATGCTTACAATACATACATGAATAGAATTTACAGCGAAGATGGTCTGTTCTTTTCACAGTATTAAGTATTGACCAGATAAGAGTAAGCTGAATTAGTTAAAGATATGCTAAACGAAAGCCATATTTTGACTTTGAAATATTAGATTGCAGAAGTTGATGATGAAAAGACTTTTCTTAGTTTGGAGGCTAATCCTGCAGGACTTAATGTTAATGAAGATTATACATATTATCTAGATTACTATAAATTCCCTACCACAATGAGTCACAACATTTTTCGTGATATAAGGGCTAGATTTATAAACATTGGTGCTATTCATACTTATATTAGACCTTAAACTATATAAATTTACACCGCAGAGCACTCTCCAAACTCTGTGAATATCTTGCATATTCATTTGAAGGATCACAATGAGAAAACTCAGCGCCTTTAAGCCTATTACTTAAGAGATGATTAAACTGCATAGGAATTTGAAGTCTTTTAAGTCGATGCTAATGGTGAGATCCCTACTTATAAAATACTCATTTAGAACTAAAAAGTAATATCCCTTCTTTATAATGGTGAGCAATGTGTTGAATATTTGGAATTCAGCGAAAAAAGAATAGCTTAAGGTGAATTCTATGAGATTACTAGAAATAATAGTCACTTTATATCTGGTGAAAATATGATATGCTAAATTGCCAATGTACCCAGAGGACTGATAGTTAGTCTTGATTAATAATGCGAAGTAGTTTAAGAATAGCCTTAGTTTAACTTGCATAGCTTTTGCCGTGAAGATACCCATTTTGCATAGTGGTAAGGATTTGTAGATGTCAATATCAAATCCTTAAATTTGGAATAAACCTTATTGAAGAATGACATCAATTTAGCGTTTCCAATCTGTGCATTTTCAGGGTCTAGTGAATAAACACAGGCATAATACCTTAATCTTATGAATTAGTAATGATTCTCAAAAGTATTTCAAAGAGAACAATTTATACTCAAGGAAATATTGCTAAGCTTTTGAAATTAAATCTCATTATTTACATAATCTATAAATAAAAGTATAGCGTGGGGTTTTGGGGTTTTGGGG